CCAAAAAAAAAAAAAAAAAAAAACCCCCCCAAAAAAAAAAAAAAAAAAAAAAAGGAAGGCATTCCCAAAATCCCGAGAGCCCGGGCGAACGTTTCCAGCTTTTCGGCTTTAAAAGTTGCATTCTCGTGGAATTGCTGGGAAATCCGCAAATCGCTAGTTCTGGGTCTTTTTTTTTTTTTTATCCCTTGTGTTTGTATGTGTGCCGCTGCTGAAGTTTTTTGCATCCTCGCTGGGTGTGAGGTACCTGACTTCTTATCAGCGGGGGAAAAAAAAAAAAAAAGTTTAGCGGAGGGAAGATTTTGGACTCCGGGAAACCGCTTCCATTCGCAGGAGGGGGGTTGGGAGATTCGGGGGATGGGGATTGGTGCGGGGTGGTTTTTGGTTTTGTTTTTTTTTTTTGCACTTTTATTTATTTTATTGTTGTTATGATGATTATTATTTCTCCTGCGCCCCAGACTCGGAGGGTTTCGGGCCGGAGGAGCCCGGCCCGGGGCGGTGTTTCCCTCCCCAGGGCCGGCGCGGCGGATCCCGGGCGCGCTCCGGGGGGATCGCGGCGCGTCCCCGGGTGGTGGTGGGGGGACACACAGGGCAGCGAAGCTGCTGCCGAGGGCACTGCCCACTCCCCACACCCCTGACGCCTCTCTGCTCTCTGTCTCTCTCTCTCTCTCTCTCTCTCCCTCTTTCTCTCTGTGCCCCGCAGTACGACGAGCTGCCCCACTACGGCGGCATGGAGGGGGTGGGCATCCCCACCACCATGTACGGGGACCCCCACGGCGCCCGCCCCATGCAGCCCGTGCACCACCTCAACCACGGGCCGCCGCTCCACTCGCACCAGTACCCGCACGCCGCCCACGCCAACGCCATGCCCCCCGCCATGGGCGCCTCCGTCAACGACGCCCTCAAGAGAGATAAAGATGCCATCTACGGGTAGGTTTGGCCGCGCAGGGCTCCGCGCAACCTGCGCGGGATGGAGCGCGGGGGAGAGGTGAGGGGGGGGGGGGGAGTGCGCGGGGTGGGGAAAGATGGAGGGATGGGCAGCGCTGCGCGGTGAAGGGCCGCGTTCTTAATTTCGTGTCGTTGTTATTACCGGTTTAAAGGGTGGGGAGAGAGGGCTGGGGGTCCCCCCGGTACGGGGAGCCCGGGAAAGTAGGGGGGCGGCAGGCATCGCCGCGGGGAGGAGGAGGAGGAGGAAAATGATATTCCCAGGGCACAACCTGCGCCGGGCTGGTCAATCTCTGCACGGAGTTTTGGGAGCAAGGGACAGTTTGGAGCGCTTTGCCCAACTTTCCACCTTGTTCGTCTTTCCTTGCGTTGTGAAGGAGAGATCTCGAGAGCTGCTTCTCTCAGCTTTTTTTTTTTTTTTTAATTTTTCTTTTAATTTTCATTTCTTTTAAACTTTTTATCCGACAGCATTGAATGTTTCTCAGTGTGGCAACTTGTAAAGCGGTTTCTAGGCCGTTGTGATGGGAGCTGATGGGGTTACACTGGGCGCAGATGCTTTTAAAATGTATCTGCCCAGCTGGAGTTTGAGGGGAAGTTTAGGAGCCTCTAAAAATCGCTCTCAGGACAGTGAGGAGAAGGAGGAGGAAAATAAAATTCATGGCGTTCGGTTACTTTATCGGGTTATCAGAAATCTGAAGGGTTGGTTAAAACTCGGCAGTGAACGGTACCCAGAAGAAAAAAAAAAAAAAGAATGAAGCCC